ATTTTTTGGGGCTTTATTGCACCATTCATCAGCCTCTTGCCATACTGACTGTTTCCATTATGTTTCCATTATGTCTCTATTCAAATGCAAATGCTTCTGTCTCAAACACACAAACACACACTTCGTGCTCCACAAACACAAAACACGCTCATTTGTCTTCAGTAAGGTGGAATTCATTTATTTCGCCCTCTGTTGTTAGTGTTGCCCAAAATATTTAATATTTTTGCAAAAACAACGCACATTTTAATGCTACCAGTCATAACTTGATACAGTTTGATTTGCTGCCTCACACCTTTAAGCTAACATGTAGTTTCCACTGCTGGTGTGTTATTATATGAACTAAATATAACTTTTTTAAATGAGGTCACGCTCAAAAAGTCACTTTATTTAAAGAGGACAAGAAGACAAAATGTTTTTCAGCCATAGACAGTGGTGGAAAAAGTATTCAGATCCTTTACTTAAGTAAAAGTACTATTTCCAGACTGTAAAAGTCCTGCATTGAAATGTCACTTTAAAACTATGTGAGTATAATCAGGAAAATGTACTTAAATGTGTAAAGGTACTATTGGTGCAGTAAAATGTCCCCGTGACTGCTGGAGCTCATTTTTAACTAATTATTTTCATTTTAAATGAATCTGCTGAATATCTCCCCCGTTAATCGATTGATTGATTGTTTGTTTGTAAAAATTCTGAAAATAGGGAGAAATGTTATCACAGTTACTCAGTCACAGTCCAAACCTCGAAATTTTTCTAATTAAATGAGGATTATTAAAATAATTAAAAGGAAAAGCAGCAAATATACACATCTGTGAAGCCGGAACCTTGAAATGCTTTTGCATGAAATATTAGTAAATAGCTGCAAATTAATTTTTTGTCAGTCAACTAATCGTTTTAGCGGCACTTTTATTAACTGCGGGGTTGTAATGTACAACAAAACATCATATTTTATAAGCTTTTTGTATGTAAAAAAAGTTAATCTGTTAAATAATTGTAGAGACGTAATAAGTACAATATTTCCCTCTGAGATGGACTATAAATAGAAAGTGGCATTAAAAGAAAGGACTCAGGTAAAGTAGAAGTACCTCAACTTTGTACAGTAAGTAAATGAACTTCATTACATTCCACCTCTGGCCATCGTTGAAGGCCGGTGTCCCTCTCCTGACGTCAGTACATCAAAGTCTCTACAGAAGGCAACAAAATAAACTAAAATCAACTATTTTTGTGTGCATATCTTTATTATGGACATAAAATAACTTAAATGGCGGTTCAAAAAGAAAACACCAGATGCTTATTTATGGTTAAAAAAGGGAAGAGGCAACACAATGATTCTGTGGAAGCTTCTTCAGGACAAAAAAAATAAAATGGCGACCGACAAAAACGCCATATGGAATGTATAGACTAATTGATTTATCACAATGACGTGTGCTGTGTTGGACGCTTAATGACAAAGTGAAGCAAACCGTTTGCTGCATTTTGTTCTTTCTGCTGCGTGAATCATTTCAGGCTACTCAGAAATGCCATCAGTTTGCATGTGAGTGCATGAAAAACTAAATCTTTTACATGAAACTGAAACTGAAACTGAAAGCTTCAGGGTTACAAGAAAAAGTTTCAGCTTTCTGAGGAATAACAGTTCATTGATCTGACTCAGCACATCAGACTGTAGAGCAGGTTGTCAGATGACGATTAGTGCTCCAGGCTAATGTTTGCCAAGAAATAGTTACACCACATAATTCGTCCTAAAACCACAAACTGTCCTTTTTGCATTTCTGTTTGTGTACTCATTAAAGAAACAAGATAGAACATGTTGATAAGTACGTTTCAGAGGTGTGGTAGGTGTATTTTTGACCGGGCCAGGCTAGCTGTTTGTTGCCGCTCGATGTCGTTATGCTAAGCTAAGCTAACCAAAACCTGACCCCAGCTCTGTCGTTAAAACACAGACATGGGATTTATAAAGATCTTTTCATTTAACTCCTTGAACTATAGAAAAGTTTTGACTTGTTTTGAGATTCTTTTTAGTGCCACGATTAACAAGTCACGCCACAGAGAGGTCAGAGGTTGTCAAACATGCCAGACCAGTTTCAACGCCCATGCGTGACACAAGCAGTTATTCACCCCTTCTTATTCACTCAACCCTCAGGGAGGTAATTAATTAGAAACTGAGGGAGGAATATAAGTGACAAGAAAAGAAAGGGAGGAAGAGAAGGAGCGGCATCAGAGTTAGCCAGCAACAACAAGCAGATGATTAAGAGATGGAAGCAGAAGGTGAGGTAGGGCAAAGGAGGAGAGGTACTGAAGGAAGAGTAAGTAGGATGTGAGAGAGAAGGAAACAAAAGAGGAGAGGAGAGGAGAGGAGGGAGCTCATGAATATCAAAGCAAAGTTCCCCAGACAGGAGTTGCATAAGTACCTCTGACCCAGAAACCTTCCACATTCGGACTGATCTACCCCGAGATGGAGGGAACGAAAACAGCCAGAGCGTGAAAAGAGAAGGAAGTGAAAGAGGAAAGGAAAGGATTGGCGTCCTCCTCCAGCCCAAATTGTTTTTTTCTCTCATCAGTTTTATTTAACTTCATATGCACTTTTTAATGCAACAATTGTGGCTGTGGCTTAGAAGTAATCGGAAGGTTGTTGGTTCGATCCCCGGCTCCTCCTCTTTGTGGCACTGAACCCCTAAACTGTTGTTACTACCTGAGGCGTCACACATGGATACATGGTCAAGACCCCTTGGCGTCAGTTTGTAAAGCAGTTGGAGGCCCTTTAGTGTCATTTTTGAACCGTAAAAGTAGGTGTGGTATATATAAATAACAGAAATGTCAGGCGGGGGTTGAGTGGGCCAGAAATGTTTTTGGTGGTCAGAAGACTAGAAAGGCGTTTGTATAATTTACATTAGCACTGCACATTTGTCAAGTTCAATTGTGTTTGTTTAAGTATTTTCCTGAGTTCTTCCTGAGAAAATGCTGGAACTGTTATGGAATTCGACGACTTGTGAAAAAGATTTCATTGTCAAAGCATTTCTGAAACTGAATTATAGAATATTTGTGGGTATTGAATATTGAATATTACCCAATAAAATATCATGTACTGTGTTGTACTGTATACTTACCAACTTCTCGATCAATATCATGAATTTGTGCAGATTACAAATTTAGTTTTAACATCAGTCAGTTTTTTTTTTGAGGAAACAGGACATGTATGAGTTCATGTATCAGTGCCTCTCTGAGTAGAAATAGTTTCTTGTTTACGTGGATGTTCTTGGATTAGTCGTATTCCTACATTGCTTTATTACTGCTGTTGAGTTAAACGTTAAGCTCTTTGTTCGTGTGTACTGTGTGAAACAGACTGATGAATGGTTAGGAAGGTTGTGAAGGAGGACGGGGAGGAAACGAAGAGGCTTTTAAAGGATGAAGGCAGCAGGAAACGAGGTGAAAGACAAGGTGAGACTTAGCAGGGACTTCAGGAGGCGCCGTGCTGAACACTGAATAAAAGGAGTGGGTGCAAAGAAAGACAACGTCGAGGCAAATTTATTTAACAAGTGCTGTTAACAAAGGACATTACTGCAATATAGATGAGGATGAACGAAAGGAAACAAAAGGAAAGTAACGGCTTCTATGTGAAATCTGAGGCAACTTAGGGACTATAGACAGAGGGATAAGATAGAGCACAAAAATAAACATATAAACCACAAAAAGGCTGCATAAAGGAACAAAATGCAGGAAAAAGCTTGTAGTGTGAAATATGAGAAAGCTTAGAAATGATAAATGACGGCTAGATGGATAATTACAACATGATAATAATTGATGTAATAATAATGCAAATAATAGAAGGTCACTCCGAAACAGGCTGAAGGGAAAGAAACTGGATGGATAAATGTTTAGATGGATTGAAAGAAAGTGTATGTTCATTTGAAATGGCAAGTAAGAAAAAGGATGCAGGGAAGGAAATAAAAAAAAAGGAATCATATGGTGAGAGCTGATGTAGCTCGAACATTCAAAATAAAATAATAAGGCCCGTAATCTGAATGTAAAAGGAATACTTCCTGCTAATCCAGTAGACTAAATCGGTATTAGGACTCCCCTTTAGGGCAACTATTAGATATTTATCTTATATTTTAGATTAGATAGACCTTATGCGGGGTGTTGGGAGTGACTGACTGATTTGCTGAGAAAGAAGGCATTAGAGAAGTGTGTTTGCTTTGTGATCGAGAGGCCTAAAGGACGGCAGTTCTTGTTCCCCTTAAGTGCCTCCTGATCAAGCACACAGAGAGCGAGAGGCTTTGATTGCCCTCATCCGCCCAGCTCAAACACCCGCCGTTATCTGAGCTATTATTATCCGCTGTTTCCGCCATCGGGATGCCAAACTGTGTGTGCCAATGTGTGTGTGTGGGCACAAAACAAAATCTGTTTTACACTGCAGATTTGAAAGCCACTTTATTAACAGGGTAACGGGGGGTTTTGGTTGCTGGCAGTGTTGTTGAGCCTCTGGATCATGCTGGTGTTTTTTTTTTCACGGTTTAACCCATTCGATTTAAATCACCTGACAACGCTGCAAAGCATATTTCAAATGACAAAAACTTTGCTGTCAGTCACTTTTTCTGAAAATGAACATGCAAAGGTAGATAGAATAGTCTTAGTGAACATTTACTGAGCTTTATTTTTGGTCAAAGTTCAGTTATTGCCGCCTGATGACACAGGTGCAAGCTTTGAAAACTTTTCATGGTGCATTCAAGGACTCTCCTTTATCCAGGATGCGAGAGAGATCTGTCATAAACCATTCACAAGCTACACTACAAACTATTTTCTAACTTGTATTTGATTTTTGGAAAGGACTTTGTAATGTTGGTTTTAAAAGTCATATATAAATAAAGATGATGATTATTATTATTACATGATTGGAAAATAATTTTAAATGGTCAGAAGGCTCATTTCTTTTCACCCGCTCCTCTAAATCTCTTCTTTGCTTTGTCTAAGCCTTTCATCTTCTCTCTCCTGCCCTCTATCCACAGGTGAAACCATGCAGCTGGGCGGTGCTCCCTAGCCTCCCCTGTCCCTCGCCTCCCACCTGACCACCTCTCCTCTTCGCCTCCTCTCTCCCTCCTTCCCTCTCCTCCTGTTCATCATGGAGACCACCATGGCGACCACGCTGGAGACGCTGCTGGCCCAGCCCGACCAGGAGCTGAGCCCGGGGCAGCTGGATGGCTGCGAGGAGGCCGCTGGCCGCTACAAGGTGGTTCCCTCTGTCGTCTGCTCCATGTGCTGCCTCTTTGGCATCATTTACTGCTTCTTTGGTGAGTCCGCAATTCAGCTGGAGATAGAAAAAGTTTGAATGTTTGACTAGAAAGAAATGCAGCAGTAGTTTCTGTTGATTGATTTAGTTATTTTGTGTTCCTTCCTTTCATTTCAGGCTATCGCTGCTTCAAAGCGGTGATGTTCCTGACCGGCCTGATGTTTGGCTCCGTCGTCATCTTCATGCTCTGCTACAAGGAGCGCGTTCTGGACACCCAGCTGAGCGTGGAGGCCTCGGTGGGCATCGGCCTTGGCATCGGCACGCTCTGCGGCCTTGTCACCATGCTGGTTCGCAGCGTGGGCCTCTTTATGGTGGGCTTGCTGCTGGGCCTGCTGGTGGCTGTGGCCACCCTGGTGGGCATGGCGGAGCTTTCCGACAGCCCACCGCGCTCTGTCTGGGTGCTTCTGGGCGTGCTGCTTGGCCTGGGCATGCTATTCGCTGTGCTTACCCTACAGTGGCAGCGCCTCTTTACCACGCTGTCCACGGCGATGTTTGGGGCAGCGGTCATCACTGTGGCGTTGGACTACTTTGTGGAGCTCTTCGCCCTCTTGCTGTACATATACGAGCGAATAAAAGCAGCACCTGCCAAGCCTGTGTGCTGGCTGACATGGGTGGTGCTCGGGGTGTGGCCTGCCCTCACCCTGCTGGGTGTCATGGTCCAGTGGAAAGTGACCGCTGAGGGATACTCCCATACCAAGGGTGAGGGAAACTGGTTGTCTATGAAACTATAATCTATAAGTATCCGTGGTTTGCCTCCCTTTACTGGTAAAATAAAATATGTAAATGGTTGTATGATCAGAGCCAATTAACAGTCTTCAGATCTCTCAGATCTTTTGTCTCTGACATTCTCCAATGTAAGCTTGCCTCAGGCTGACAAAAGTACTGTATGTGGGGGGTTTAAAGGGAATGGAAGTAAAATCGAGAGCTGCAGTTTGAGCTTTTCCACCACTTAAATAAGCACTAAACTGTCCTGCTTGAGAAAAAATTAAATTGAGTCTCCCTAACTGCTACAACGTTTTAAAATATGCTAAAACTCTGGCGGCATTTTGTCTTTGTAGTGATGGCTGATGGGACTTGTGGGTACTATGGCATTATGTAGGGAGCTGTACAATGTCTTTCTAAACAGTCAGTACTGATGTTAAATGCATGATTTCTAGACATTTTTTAGTGATTTGAGGGGTCAAAAGTCTTTGAAGGCAAAGGATAAAACTGAACTAAATTCAACTGAAACATGTTTATTTACTCAAAAGTAGGTTTTCCATGTAAGTTCAGCAAAAATGTCAATTTGCAGAAACTTCTAAACATTTACAATGAAATGTAGCCCAGTTATAAACTCAATGAGCAGATATATTTTGACCTGCAATTCACCAAATCAATGCTTGAAGGCGGGCGTGAAGTGTCCATGGGCAAGGCACAGAATAAAGAGGGGACCTTTAAGTCTAGTTTCATGAACCTGCTGTAAAGGAGCTCCTCATGGCACCTTCATAGTACCCCTCAAGTTTGTACATGTTGAACCATTGTTGTTGTATTTTGTTTATTAATGTTGGGGTCATTATTAGAAGCACTGTTTCCAGTAAGGAAGGGATATTTACAGAGCCACTAGCTCCACCCACAGCTTTACTAAAACCTCCAAAGCGCAACTAGCATACACCGCCTAGCTTCCGTCTTTAGCTTCGGTACGCTACAGACACAGCAAAACACTAGCTTCTCCCTCTGTCCTCCACAGTAATAATCAGTCGGCAACAGAGGAGGATGCAGGTGATGCGGATTCGTCAGCGGGATGACCGCTATCGCAAGAAGAAGAAGAAGCAGCAGCAGCACGGCTCAACCTCCCACCATCACCACCAGGCCAAGCAACTTCACCCTGAGCCCGCCTACCGTCGCAAACCCAACCCCATCCGACGCTTCGACACAGACGTCCTCTCTCCGGTGAGAAACCGTGATCTGATTTTCTGTCATCTATATTTTGTTTTTGCTGTAATTCGTCATCTGTTTAGTGTTTGGTCATGTATTTTGTACTGTCGTGTGGGTTTTTGAAATTCGGTTGGGTCTTTTTCTGTCCCATGCAGAGCTACATTCAGAGTTTCCGAGAACGCCAGGTGCAGGCGCAGCCCTTCCCGAGCCGGCTGGTCGGCGGACCCCACGCTGTGGTGGATGTGGGCTACGACTGCGGCTCAACGACGCCCCTCACCGCAGCTGCAGGACCTTCACTACGGGTCTGACTACTCCCCCACCTCCCGGATGCTTGAACAAACCCCTTAACTAGGGAGATACACGACACTACCATCACTACCCCACATGGGTGTAATCCCGCCTGTGCTAGAACAAACCACCACTGGGTTTAAATGCAAAGATTCTGGGTATAAACAAAGCCACACCCCTAAGAGGATGAAAATATATTTAGGGCTAGATTTACCCAAAATGCAAAATATGTTTAACCCTTTACTAATTCAAATTTGGTTCATAAATCTCATGGCTGCCTGCTGGAGCCATCGTTGTGGTGCAGAGGTTTGGTTGGTTGACCTCTTTTCACTGTCTTTTAGTAGATTCAAATGCACAAATGCATGCAAGCACTTAACACAAACACAGACCGCAGCTACAATCTTAAGGGTCGATGTGGAAACCCGAAGCAGCCTGCTCTACCCGGCCACACAGCCTGCGTGTCACCGTGTCACGTCAAACCAGATCAGGGATCACAGTTTCAGTGCTAACTCGGCTCAGGTTCAAACACAGGCATTGTATGAAAAATCTAAATACAACTTTGCCCTTGTTGAACGCGCTGTTTCTACCACTGTCGTTGTTTTTGAACTGATGCTGCAGAAGCAACTAGTTCCTCAACCTGTAGGCGTCTTAAAAGTCCAATGAAGATCATCTATAAAGGGAAGTGAGGGCCCTTAAATGCAAACCAGGATCTTTAAATTTGCTTTCTGTGCCATCTGGACAACAAATATCGTCCTTGAAATGTCGTGTTTTAAAGGGAGAAATCCTTCGTCACCCTTGGTGCTGGACAATACACTTCTACAAGCGTCAAACTGCTCAACGATGACTGGGGAATCTGTTTTTAACAGGTGCCTTGCCCCTCCGTGGACTGTACCATTCAGCAACAGGAGGGGGGTTACTGGCAGATCTCCCGTCGATGGCTTGTTTTTGCGTTAAATGTGGTCACAAGAGGATTTTTTTAATGGGTAGCTATGGAGCTACAATAAGCAGGGTAAAAAAATATTGGCGTGGGGCTGGCCTGCTGTCTTCACAGATGCCTGGATACATGAGGAGGATTTGCTGACAGCAAGAAAGCCATATTTACACTGGCACCTCACATGAGATTTCACACAGTACAAATGGAAAAAGATGTTGAGGATTTTCAAGAGGAAACCCCAATTACTGATTATTTCACAACTTGAATTTCATCCCTGCGGTGCAAACTCTTTGCCTTCCAAGAGATTATTTACGCTGCTGAGCAGAGTAGTAATACTTTTATTTCATGAGCGTAGCTGAAAGATATGTTTCAGTTGTTTCTTCATCCGCCATTGTTTCAAACTAATTTAATCCTAGTTGTTCAAAAAAGTCTGAAATTTAAATTTAAATTACATTTGCTAAGAAATCAGTGTATATAGCATATCCATATTGTTTTGACTTGTGCACTTCGGTGGTCAAAATTGTAATTTCTGGAGTGACAGTGCCCCCTACAGTACCGTTCATTAGGGTCATTCATTCTTGGTATTGACTGACAATGCGGGTACTTTGATTGGTTCGATTTCTGTGACAACAAGGACAAAACTTAGTTTGTTACTTCAATTCCAACTACCACACAGGCCCATGTTGTTAGCCGTTGCTTTGTCCCATCTGTGATTTGAGCTCTCCCTACGTTACTCCATGTCCAAATCACAGGGTAATTCAGGGTTTGTATTGCTAAGGTCACAGGATTAACTGTTGCTGTGAGCTTTTACAGTCAGTCTGCTCATTCGTCATCTCCACAACATGAAATGCTAGCTGGACCCTCCTCTTTTGCATGATGTGGGACAAATGCAACACACAAGTGAGCAAGCCAGGCTAAACTGTAATGCTGTCTTTCACCTACAGAGGCGAATTCAAACTCATTGGCACAATGGGTCCCAAATGCTGATTTGTGTTAAACGTGTGTCTCAGACTTAACGTATTAGGGTAATATATTTTTTAATTCACAATCAAAGATTCATTCAAATTTCAAAAAGCTCCTGTTTTTCCCACCTGTTCTCATCTCAGGGCGTCAAATACAGACGCTTTCAGAATAAGTACCCTTCAGCCTTTTGTGTTAAAGGCGTTAACAGCCCCCCAAAGTGAATTATGCTAACCATCACAGGGGTTTGTGCCTAAACCTAAGTTTGTGACTAGCGTTCGTACTGCTCAGTGTGCTAGCAGGTAGGGTTAGCCTCCTTTGTGTTGCTTCAACCAAGCAAACTGCAGCATTTCATATCCAATAACTCCGTCTGGAGGCGTCGGTAATGACACACTGGGATGAGAATTTGTTGTTTCTTTTCTAAATTCAGATGAGGTCGGGATGTGTTTCACTCTTTCATCTTTCTGTCTTTGTGAGAAACTTTCGAGCTTTAGCTCCATTTGCTCTGGCAGAACAACGTTATTTTTTCTCACCTGAGGCTCACCAGGCTGAGTTTATTTCAACAGAAACGGTGGTGCCTTGAACACCCTGTTGTGTACCCAAGTGCACTGCACTTTAATGCCTTTTTAATATGGCTGTGTTTACATACTTGTCGCAGCTGATTGGGCAACAACTCTGACACGCCCACCGAATGGGAGAAAACATACCTTGAAAACTTTGCACACCGAAAACATGTTGTTCAGTCCGAGAAACATTGCATCCTGCCTCCTTCGCTGCCTCTCTGATTGGCTCACCCTAACTCCACCCTAACCCTAACAAACGGAGGCAACGAGTACTAGCCAATCAGAGGCAGAGTTGATGAAAATCTGGTGGAAGACAAAAAAAAAGCGTGGCAGAACAGCAGCCTCTTCCTGATTAGTGCTGCAAAGCAATCAAGCTGGTGAAAGCTAAAGATCTTCTCTGGGATGGTCCGATTTGTGTCAACATAAATCTACTGGAAAATGATTTATTGGTATTCAAAATGCGACTCTTCCAAAGCACCTTTTACAAACGAGACCAGGCTGAGATGCCAGTGTAAATAAGGCTCGGAGGGTGTGAATGAAGTGGACTAGAGGCCATACCTATTTGTACTTAGACCAACAACTCCTTCCGTCATGTGCATTGATTTTCTTTATTTGGGACAACATAACCTTTTTGTGTCCAGTGAAAATGTGAATACTTTTAATGTCTTTACCTTTTAAAGGAAAAGCAAGAGTGTGGGGAGGGGGGAGGGGGGTGTATGGTGCGGTGTGGTTCATCAGCAGGGAACCGAAATGCATGATCCCCACCAAATAACCTCCACCCCTTCATGTGAATCAATGTGAAATTTGTACATAAAACACAGCACTTACTAACCTTTTTTTTTTTTTTTTTTATCATTTCATTCAAACAGTTTATTTCTTAGGGATCTAATTTAAAGGAGACATGTTCTTTTCCAGTGGGGTGTATTTATTTGCTGATTTATTTATTTCTTGAGCTGTTCTATAAAGGATAGTGCAATGTCATCACTGTAGGCCAGTAACTCCATGCTTCTTTTTTTTTTTAAATTTGAATTTTGACTATGATTATTAAAGCATGTGTTCCTATGGGCCTGTGTACAATCAATGTGTGTGAGTCGTCTTTTAATCGTCAAGGACATAGACATCAATCGGCTGCAACATGAAATCCACTTTACTTTTATTAGCAAATAATATTTGAAAGTCACAAGGGATTATCGTTCCTGAAAACAGACCCCCTCCTCTTTCTCTCCCTCTCTCTCTCCGTCGTTCTTGTATTTTCTACCTCGCATAACCTCTTTCCGCCTATCTCTCGCTTCATCTCCAGACACATTTTAATCTCCTCCTCCATCTTCTCTTTTTTTATCTGTCCTTTTTGCGTCCCTTTGATGATAAGCACAACCACATGCACATACAGTTCACCTGATTCTTGTTAGCGCTCCTGATTGGACAAAACAATGACTCTGACCTACTGTGTATGGAGAAAAAAAACAGAAGAAAAATCTACATTACTGCGTTATCGATAAAAATAAATGAGATGCAAAAGCAGAGGAGTGGTTCAGTTGTTCGGAAACAATTTTCTGTGACATTTAATTTAAATTACAGAGCAGAAGGCGTCCACAGTACCAGAATATATTATTTAGGAGACCATCTGAAATGCTTTTTTTGCCTTTTGAATGTTGCTTGTGCTTGTTTTTAATGTTGTTATTTGAATACTGTGGCAATATTGTGGCAGAAAAAGTCTTAATTAGTCATCCTTCCTATATTCTACTGTAGCAACCCACCTTGTTCTTACTTATTTCAAGATGCATACGCGTCAGAAAATGATTGAAACATGTTGATTTCTATTGAGAAGGTAAAAATAAGGATAATTAAACACAAAAATGACATGGAGATTTTTTGCAGGGTAGCTTGTACATTAGTGTTGTAGTCAAGGCCCGCAACCAAGATCAAGTCCTGACCAAGACCAGAGTTTATCGAGACAGAAACCAGACCAAGACTTTGAGGGGTTGAGACCAAGTCAAGACCAAGACCAGAGTGTATCAAGACAAAGACAAGTAAAGACTTTGAAGGGACTGAGACCAAGGGAGGGCGAGACCAAGTCAAGATCGAGACCAAGAAAGATCAAGACTTTGAGGGGTTGAAACCAAGTCAAGACCAAGACCAGAGCGTATCAAGACAAAGACAAGTAAAGACTTTGAAGGGACTGAGACCAAGAAGAGATCAAGAATTTGAGGGGTTGAAACCAAGTCAAGACCAAGACCAGAGCGTATCAAGACACAGACAAGTAAAGGGAGGGCGAGACCAAGATGAGACCCAGACTTTGAGGGGTTGAGACTAAGTCAAGACCAAGTTTAGAGTGTATGAAGACCAAGATCAGATTGTATAGAGACTAAGTCAAGATCAAGACCAGTGGCTCAAACTACATGACATACTATAAAATGTGGAAAATAATCATAGGCGATTCCCAAATCTGAAAGATCCACATTCCCATAAAAACACCCAAATACAAAGACTTAAGAGCTGAAATGAACTTCACCATCTTTGTTCTGCGCTCCTTTCCCATGTTTTACCATCCACCTAACATGCATTAGGTTTTCTGTTTGACTCCTGTCTTGTTTGACTCATATTTGATCCTTCGTATTATATTTAGCACTCTTAAAGTAACGTGCCTATGCCCGTACAGAGCAACCTATTTAATATGTACATTTTTCATCTTTATTCTCCACTCTTCTGCTGCCACATCTGTAGGATTGCTCTCTCACCCAGGTGAGGAAGCAGTACCATGGCGTCTAGCTTTAATGTCGGGAGCTGTACGCAGCCGACATATAAGGATGATGTAACTCAGCTCGCACATTAGCTACATAACTTAATGTGGCCTGTCTCAGTCTCTCACAAAGTTACCACTGCATTAGCTACTTGCCTCAATATGTTAACTACATCAGGTAGCTGGTGCACCTAGCTAGGTGGCAAATAGCTTGCAAGCAACTAAAACTAGTGTTCTGAAACATACAGTATATACACAGGTTGCTAAATAAAGTTTTACATCCAATCAAATTTAGGATGTTAACAAATAAATCAGACAATGCACAGGTAATTTAGTGACATCCCCACAGTTGTGGTCTTGACTGGTCTTGAAATAAAATCCCTAGTCCTATATAGGTGACTCTCAAGTCTCTTATTTATCTTTTCCTCTCTGTCTTGCTCTTTCTCTCGGTGCATCTGTCAGCGGGACAAGGAAAAGTGAGGGATACGTGGATGCAATTAAGAGAATTGGGATGCACCCTCTGTTTGGGACTGCATAGAAATGTGGTCGATTGCGACAGGAGGCCGAGACCTACGACACTTGTGCATCTATAACCACATACATACATCGTAAAACACAGCGCTAAGCAGAGATAAATAAACCCTGATACAGATAATGATACCACCACTCTGCTTTAAATTCACATACAACAGTAACTTTAAAACAAAAACATTACAGGCCATAATCATGAGTTTATAAGGTCTTTTTACTTTGTTTTATTCGCACACCTTTTCTGACTAAGTCATCTGTCCTTCAGTCAAGGAAAGGACAGAGTGTTTAGTGTTTCTTCTTTTCCTCTGCGCATGGTTACATGATGTCTTGCTGGTGCTGCGTCGACTCGCTGACAACCTGGAGGGTAGAAACACGGCGGTCAGGAGACGTTCAAAGGTGTAAAAATAACACTTAAAGAGAGATGGAGACACTGCGAGAGTCAGGACACGAGTTCTCATTTAAAACCAGTAGCATTTGAAAGTTGCAGTACTGACGTGCGTGGCACCAAATATGGTTTCACCCATGTCCCTTATTGGTTCTCTGCCAGTCTGAGACAACAATTGGCCTGAAGCCACTTGAGTCATGAACATATACCCAACCCACCTTTGTAGGAGCCCCATTGGCTGATGTGTTCACTGACCTTCCAGCTCTAGTTATTTCCCTCATGTAAATATTATCACAATATTTCTTCAGCAGTACGTACTCAGTTAACTGCAATTAATATGGAATTGGAACATAGTATTGAACTGTCACAAAATATTTTTCATATCTTACATGCACTTCAAATATCAAGTAATTTTTGTCTGTAATTTAGTGCTTAAGTTTTGTCTAATGAAAGAGGTGGGAAAACACAACAGCGTGCCCTCCTTCAACATCAACAACACGTGAAGATGGAGATACAAGACCAAGACATACAGTTGAAAATGCCTTGTCTCAACACGCCTGGGTTTTCTCAGCTGCTGGTGTGATGTGTTTCCACTGAGCTTTGAATGGCTGAACTAGTCTCTGCATGTGTGTGCAGGTGCGTTCTCTTAGAAAGATAGCGAATGCTTTCTGAATGAAATGTTCAAAATGTCACAATGTTGTGCAGCAAGGTGCAAACGCTTTCCTACAGATGAAGCTGAAAACGGACTCCAGGTGATATTTCACAGAGGTCATAGGTCAGGAGTGTTAATTTACCATTTACCAACATAAAGCTGCCACTAACTGAGCCATAATATCTACCAGGACTGGAGGTAAAGAGGTGAAGAGTTGTGTTTTTTCAGTATCAGTGTATAAAATTGACTGGCTATTTAGGGCAGAAGGGACTAAAAATGAGCACCGACCCAGACTAAATACTGATCAATATAAGCCCATTAGTTTAGGGTCAGAAAGGGGGTAGATTAAACTAGTCAATATGTGAGAAATCGTTGGTGGTTTAATGGTTTAAAATGTCAGCAGGAGAGTCACACTGAAGCCTTAATAGTTTCTTTTGTTTTCATTGCAGGTTTTTTTCCTTTTTTTCTCGAGATATTAGAAGAGAGAAAGGGGAGATGGGACTGACTGATAAGCTCATTGGGGTGAATCTTAAGTAACAAAGCTGGCAGGAGGATGCTCCCAGTAGTTTTGCTAAATGCTTTTCTGCGTGTGTTTTACCTCTCCGTCGCGGGTTTCGATGGTCTTGATGAGGACGGTTTTCTTTGAGTGCATCTCGGAGGAGCGCTGCTGGTGCTCCGGGCTGGTCTCTGGTCAAACCCAGCAAGAAAACATCATCAAAAACAGAAGACACATACAGTTGTAGTGAAGTTGCATTTTAAAATCCCGTTACAATATCAAACTGTCTGGCAAAGGACTTTTAAATCCATTTTGATGTATTGGAAGAAGAAAATAACAACATTTGTAATAAGTTTTGCTCTTTTATATTATATTTTGCTTCTGAAGGAATCACACAATGTGGTGTTTAAATGAGAATGGATCATAATTCAGGTGTAGAAGCTCCATCATTGTGGGTTAGTTCAGACTCCTGAGCTGTTTAAAAGAGACGTGTGTCCTCTAGTGGTGTGTTCAGGGAACAGCGAGTATGTTCGTACCTCGGAAGCTCAGGGTGGAGTAGCTCTGCACAGGCAAGGTAATCCTGCAAAACATCATGCACAATATATTAATTTACCTTCATTTGAATAACACATTGTCTTTGCTGTCCCTTTTTTTGGATTGTAATTTAATCCTACCCTGACAGAAATGGAAACTTAATCTTAAAACCTGTTTTTAACACACAACAAGTCAGACCCTTGTTAAAGAAAATAAATATTCACTGTTTAAAGTCTAGTCAGTTTCTAAAAATAAACCTATTTCACCGGCTTCGGAAATTATTAACTCACTATTAGAGGTTTTGACTTTAACAGAAAATAAGTAGAAAAAAACTCTTTTTGTTCAGATTAAATCTGAAATAACACTCTGGTCTGGCTGTTTAATCTCTCACACAAACACACATTTTCTAGCAGGCACTGAAAAGCGCCGATTCCCCGTTTACTTTGAACACATCACCGGTCTCACCTGCTCTCCTCCCCTTCCAGCAGCTTCCTGTAGGTGGCGATCTCCACGTCCAGCGCCATCTTAACGTTGAGCAGGTCCTGGTACTCGCGGAGGTGGCGCGCCATCTCGTCCTTCATGTTGGCGATCTCGGCCTCCAGCCGGGCGATGGTGTCCTGGAAGCCGCTGGCCTCGCGTCCATGGCGGTCCTCCATGTCTCTCATCTGCCTCATCAAGGACTCGTTCTGGATTTGTCAAAGAGACGAGTCTGGTGATGAAACAGAGCTCGGAGAGCGTGTGTGTGCGTGTTGTGTGCGTGAGACATACGTTGCCTTTGAGCGAGTCGATCTCGCAGGTGTAGGACTGGATCTGGTGTCTGAACTCCATGGTCTCCTGCCGGGCCTGCTTCAGCGCCTCGTTGTTCTTACTCACTGCCTGGTTCAGGTCGGACACCTGGAGACACAAAGGTCAAAGGTCAGGCACTGCAGCTATTTCTACAGAGAGCTAAGGATAAAGATAAACACTAATCTTTTTATTTATAATCTGGTCAAACTCGGTCAAATATAAAAATATTAAATCTGAATGTCAGCCTTTAAAACCCGACATGTTGCGATGATGTAACAGTCTCTCCCCGTCTCACCTTTGACTTGTACCAGTCCTCGGCCTCTGAGATGTTCTTGGCGGCGATGCCCTCGTATTGGGCCCTGATGTCCCTCAGCGCCGCCGTCAGGTCCGGCTTGGACATGTCCATCTGGATCTGCACCTGGGTCTCCTGCATCTGCGTCTGCAGCTCGCGGATCTCCTGCAGGAGGAAGAGGGAGGTTAGATCGGGGTTAGAGCTGTGTGTGTGTGTGTTTTTTGGTTTTGTCGGGCACAAAAGGGATTAAAGGGATTAGTTTTGTGTCCAGCATGGGTGTGTTTCTGTGTGTGTGTGTGTGCACATGTCCAGGTGGAAATGGGAGTAGCAACCAACCAGCAACGACCACAGAAAACCCGGACACGTCAGGACACACCACTGTTGTCTTTGCTAGCGTTGATGTGCGCCACTGTCCCAAAAAAATTCACAAGTAGATGATGTAACTGTGTGATCTTCATTTTTAGTTAGGGCTGCAACTAAGGATTATTTTCATTGTCAATTAATCTGGTCAAATCATTTTCACGTCGTTCAGTTGTTTGGTCTGAAAATTGTCAGAATGGTGAAAATGTTGATCAGTGTTTTGCCCACATCTGTGACTGATATTCAGTTTACTGTCACAGAGGAGAAAAAGAAACTAGAAAATATTCACATTTGAGCAGCTGGAATCGGAGCATTTGGACATTTTTTCCAAAAAATAGTCAATTAATCGATTAATTGACAAATCGTTGAAGCTCTATGTTTAGTTGACGAGCGAGCTTGTTGTCTAACCTCCCAACGTTGCTTTAATGTTGACATGAAGACATTTCAGTCTGTTACTTTCTGTTATGAGCACCTGTAAAGGTGTGTTCAGACAATGAAGCAACGTCAATTTAAGACACAGTGCAAATGCACACAGATGCAATCACTATGAAGACGCAAGTGTTTGTGATCAAATGCTTATTTGCTGTGTTGAAATGAATTTAGTTTGTCCTCTGAACACTTGCACTGTTCTCCAAAGTTATTCCAAATTTTATGAGTTCCAACAGCCTAAATTCTGGCACCTTGCAGACTTCCAAGTATTCGTGGACTCGGCGTCTAGTAGCTACAAGTCACGTCAACGTTGGCTTCACCACTCAGCAGCAGTGGCTCTTGCTTTGTGCTCATCCAGACAACAGTCCTAAAAACACTCTGAATCACACAAGACTATCGCTGCAGCAACCACTTGGCTTTGGCATCTGTGGCTGACAAGTCTTATCAGTGTCAAGGCTGAAAGCACACACACACACACACACACACGCACATCTAAGCTTACAAGCTTGCATTGTTCAGAGACGTGGACGTCCGCTGCTGGTACACAGAGTAATTTTAGCCGTACATCTGCTGTGGGAGATTTCACTGCTCTGCTGCAACACTGCTCGGGCCTGCTGCCAACGCACAAGCTTTGTGTGTGTTTGTGTGTGAAACTGTATACTTCCCGAATCCTCTCGTTTGTCATCTCACACACACACACACACACACATACAGACAGACAGACAGACTGACAGATGTAACAACAGATGCTAACAAACAGACAAACAGGCCCAACGCAGCACAGTCACAAGCAAAAACACAACACACAGGAAGGAATCAATACGGACCCTTTCAGATTTTGGTTTATCCTGAATAATCTTGAGATGTGATTTGGGCACCTTTCTTTCAAATAAACTCAATGTGCTTGTTTTGTTCCCTCAATTTAGTCATTTTTACCCTCAATAAGTGGCATCAAATTTATTTTTGCCCCCAAATTACTAAATAAATCATAATATTTGCACTCCATCCATCTGTAGTCATGATGTGCTAGAAAGTAGATGTGTGTCAGTATCAAGTGTTTTTTTTTAATGTGATAACAGAGTCAAACGAAAAATGAACAGAGAGACAAAAACAGAGGAAGAAGGAAGAGAGAACCTCTTCGTGGATCTTCTTCAGGAAGGCGATCTCCTCCTGCAGCGTCTCGATGCGTCTCTCCAGGTCCAGACGAGCCAGCGTGGCAGCGTCCACATCCTGCGACAGTTTGGTAAATCAGCTGTGATTTCAAAGCTGACTGGAGTACTTGTTAATACCTACTGTAGTAGTATACAGTATCAAGAGTGATGCATGAGGAACTCACCGCCCTGAAAGCAGCCAGGTTGTTTTCTGCGTCCTCTTTTTGGAGAATCTCTTCCTGGAGTCTGGAGGAGGTGAGAGACAACGACACCATAAAGAAAGTCTCAGAAATGTTGAATAATCGGGTTAAAAATATTTTATTTATGGAAAATGAAAACTTCAGTTACAAGCAGAGTCCCAGTTGGACGCCTGTCTCTTTTACTGGCCTGGTGTGGCTACAAGTTTTGACAAACAAAACGCAGGTCTCATTTAGAAGCCTGGTCTGGTTTTTGTAGAAGTTCTTTGGATGTATGAAACCTCTTAAAGTTAGATCGGTTAGATTCTCCACAATTCAATCGTTCGGTTCATTTTACCAAAACAATTAAGCCAGTGAGTCTGAATTGTTTCTCGTAAACAAGCCAGATGAAATAAAACCATATTTTCTAAGTAATATTCATCCTGGTTGAAATAAACATTTTGATTGTAGCCTATTTCCCATCTTTGCTGAGCAAGAGCTTTGTGTGAAAAGAGTTGAAGGGCTGTTAATTGAAGTTTTATGGTAGATGTTTAAATATAGTTTCTGAAAACTGTATCATTTTAAGGAAATTCCTCTGGAAATTAACAACTGCTTGTAAACTCAAAACTAAACTCTCTCTCTGAGTTGAGAAAGTGATTTTGCCTGCCTACATCTGAACTGAAACGCAGAAGCCAAAAGTCGACAGCACATTTATTGTCACATAATACCAGGTGTTTCTGAAATCCTCTCTCGCAGAGAACAGATGCTCATTTTATTTATTAAGCCAGAAACCATCTTTGAATCAAATGCACCAAAGAGGTGAAACGTTCACATGAAATGTCACATAATAAAATCCTGACTGCGATAAAAGGAGAGAAAAGCCCAGATAAAAGCTCCATTTGTATTTTATTGTAAGAGAAACTCTTTAATTTCCTGTAAAGGGACCTTCGAATAATCGTTTAATATTTAACTTGAGTTGCAGGAGCCTCTCAGACTCGTCCTCTCTCGCTGACTCTTTATTTAAGTGGCACTTCAGATGTAAACCACAGAGAGAGACAGAGAAAGGACAGATCATTGGAGATCCTTCAGATATGTGGGAGCTCTTTCCTCTCCTTTTATAGAAGAGGACAGTGTAAACATGGTGTGTGCTCTAACTTTGGTCAGAGTCAGGCAGTAACACACGCACACACACACGCATAAAGCCATCCATCGTTTTTATAGTTAAACTATTCTGGATTAAAAACAGAGACGCAGCAGGGGAGAGGACTTTGACTTTCTTTCTGTTTTTCGAGTTGGACTTACATTTATTGTACTTCACTTGAGTAGTTTCTTCTCATGCCACTACATCTCAGAGGGACATGTTGTACTTTTTACAAATTAAGATTTTTTTACACACTAAACAAGTAAAAATGTACAGCGGAAAAGGATCAGGTGATTAATAACAGAAAATGCATTAGTGGTAAAGATACCATATTTTATTTTAGACTTTATATGGTTTGTGTATTTTATACTTGATTATGCTTTTATTATTTATTATTTATATGTGCCTAGAATTTCCCCTACAGAGGATCAATACATTTTTCATGCAAAGACATTTCACGGTTTCAAAACTTGCAAAAATGTGTTTAATTTATTGTTAATAACGTTGAGGTTTGCACTACTGGCTGCACAGAACAAACATTATGGGGGTTACTTTGGGCTCTGTGTAACTGTGACGGAGTTTTTACAAACCAAACAATCAATCGATTCCATAACTCATGATGGAAATAATCATTAGCAGTGAAATCTTGCTAAAATCTCATCGTGTGCCTGATCCAACCTCATTGTCAGGTCTAAATTCCAGCTGTGCATGTTTATTTACAGATGCAGGCTGGTGTAAGCCTTGGAAATTGACTTTAAATGTACTTTGTGGAACATGTTTTGATTCTGTCTCGGCTGTGAATCGACCAGTAACACACTTTAATGTCTTTTAATGAAAACTGTATCTGCGTTTATGTTTGTTTTGATGTATTCTTTTGACGTAACTGTTAATTCCCCACATTAATATTCAATAGCGTCAGGAGGAGTCGTCATTCAAGTAGCAGTTAAGTAGTGTAAGTGGGAGTATTTGTAGTTTTAGTCGTATTAGTGGTGGTTAGGGTTGGTCCTGCATTTAAAATTATACTTATATGTAAAAGTATGTAAGTGTTGTCGGCATAATGTAAATGTACTTATTATGCAGGATGGTCCAATTAGGAGTGTTGTATTTTCACACTGGATTATTATTTCTGATGCATTTTAATGTTGCTGGTTTATGTCCTGTTGGTAGCTTCTTATTTTACAAAGCTGACCATAACTGTACCAAAAAGTACAATATTTCCTTCTGAGATGTAGTGGAGTAGAAATATAAACCAACACAGACTGTACTTAAGTAATTGAGCGAATTTACTTCCCACCCCTGTGTTTTGAGTAAATGTACTCACTGATGGTGTCGTCACAGACCTTGTCGATTATGTATGTGTATGCAGAGTTGTGCACTTTCTAAATAACTCTTAAGTTGTTCTTTCCTCTCCTCCAGGTCTGAAATCGAGCAGTCATAGTCTGATTTTAATGTTTTATAACAAGTATTGTTAGTTTTTGACTCCCATGCTTCTGCTGTCGTGGACAAAACTGTTACTGTAAAGTTTTAGTTTTCCCTTCTTCCTAAAATATGCTAAACAAATTCACTCAGGAGGCGAGTTAAACCCCAGCTTGTTCTTCACTGCAGCAACAGTGAATCATCCTCAAACCTCTTTCTGTAATGTTTTTTCATGATAACTGTGACGAACGTGACTTCATGAAAACTGCTTTCAAAAAACCCCAAATTAGGACGCAGACCAGTAATCATAAAATGTCAAGAATGGCCATAAACGTTGAGTCATAAGTCAAAAATGTTTTCACAAAAATTAAAAAGAAATCAAAGTCTGTGAAGAAAAACTATAATTATGTCTAAAACTCTGATCCCTCTGAAAGTACCCAGCGTTCAATATATCCATTGTTATATAATCTTAAACACATTAAAGCAGACAAAACTTAAAGTATGTGTGAGGTGAGTCTTGCAGTGAATGGTCAGAAACATAAAGACAACACACACGCCGTCTTGCCCCTCCCACCTGAGTTTGAGCTTGTCCACGTCGTCGATCAGGTTGTCTCGCTCCACCTCTATGCGTGACCTCTGATTGGTCAGGATCTCCACCTGCCTCCTCAGCTCGCTCATCTCCTCCTCGTACAGGTCTGCGATGCGCGTGGGCTCGCGCCCTCGAAGGCGCTCCACCTCCACCGCCAGCACCTGGTTCTGCTGCTCCAGGAAGCGGACCTTCTCGATGTAGCTGGCGAAGCGGTCGTTCAGGTGCTGCAGCTCGACCTTCTCGTTGGTCCGCGTGGTCAGGAACTCCTGGTTGAGAGCGTCGGCCAGGCTGAAGTCCAGAGTCTCGCCCATGCCGGCGTAGGAGCGCCCGACGGAGGCCCGGGAGGTCGCCACAGGCTTGCCGTAGTAGCTGGAAGACAGCCGGTAGACAGGCGTCGAGCTGGACCGGGTCACCTCATAGACCCTGGAGGAGACGTGGCCCCCGCTGCCACCGCTGTGGCCCAGCAGCGAGCGGTTGAGGGAGGGCGAGGCGTAGGCGCCCTGGCCAAAGTGGCGGCGGTAGGAGGAGGAGGAGGAGGTTTGGGCGGAGGAACCGTAGGAGGCCATGTTGGAGGACAAAGAACCTGGTGAGGGCTGCAGCAGAGTGGAGCACTGAAGAAGAACCTACTGGCCCCGGCTATTTGTAGTTACCCCCTCCCTCGTCTTTCACCACCTCCTCACTGTGAACTGCCCTCCCTGTGTCTCCCTGTGTCTCCCTGTGTCTCCCTCGCTCTCTCTTTCTGTCACCTTCCCTTTCTCCTTTCCTACCACCTCTTCTTCTCCATCCACTCCCTCCCGTCTTTCTCTCTCTCACTCCAAATGTACGTCCTCCTCCATCCCTCGTCTCCTCCTTCTCTCCCTCTCCACATTCCTCCCTGCTTCCCTCCCTCTCCCCATGCCTTCCCCGTCCACCCCTTCACTCTTTGTCTCTCTGACACTTTACTTCCTTCTTTAGCAGCCTGTCAGTTTACATCCTGAAAATCATTTTAACAATCTTTAATGCAGTTGCAGAATTAGTTCTGTGAAACTGATCGAAACATACGTTTTACACCAACACATGCTACAGGAAGCCCGGTTTGAGTAACATGACCATGAGTTAGAGTTAGCCGTTTCACACTGCAAGACAGGGATTGTACAACTCTGAAAAGTTTGCATGAACTTCATTGACCAGTTTAGATCCATGTCAGATTATCTGGCTTTGATTTCTGGCCTAATGTTGAGCCAGGTCTTCTACAATGGCAGCTACACCGTGTCCAGTTAAAATGAATGAGCAAGTTCTTCATGCAGAGCTAATGTCAGTGTGGGAGGAGGTCAGGGTGGATGTAGTGGTCCTCAAAGCTCTCATTTTCTTTTAACCATCACCACAATTCTTCCTCAACCAAGTTGTTTTTGTCCCTTAACTGAATCTTAACCACAAGGAACCATCAGATCATTGAACACAAATATGACAAAAGACCTATTTAATCATTTACTTTACAAAGACTCGTTGAATCACACAGTCTCAAAATCCTCTTCCTCTGTCTGTGATCTCATGACATAACGATGTGAGGATGCAAGCTTTGAAAAGTCTGCGACGTCCTCACATGGTGAGACGGTGCAGGTTGTTAATGACAGCGCCCGTGTGGGGGGGAAGAGCTTTGACTAACCTGCCTTAAAAAGGAAAACTATCCCATCCTGAGAGACGGGAGAGGTACGCAAGGCGCTCCCACTGCAGGAGGAGAAAGCCCACATTCCCAAACAATATGTGCCATTAATGATGAGATCATCACAGCAGATTGCAACTGACTCCTCCCACCCTGCACACAGGTCGCCAGTCCATCGCAGCCCCCCCTCCCCTTTCAAATAATACAAATATCTCTGCACATGTACAGATTATTTCATTTCATATCATTCACAAACATTATATTGTCAGAGAGCATGTTTTGTCACTACGATAAATATGTAGTGTGAAGAAGAAGAAGAAGAAGTAGCAGCAGTAGTAGTCGACTGGTTCATTAGAAGTAAGAAGAGAAGCGAAATTTGGACAAATGGAGGACCACATGTGTTATTAAGCACAGAGCGTGTCGGCCACTGTAGCTTCTCCTGTGCGCTTGGAAAGGGAGAGGGGAGCGGTGAGTGAGTTGTTGGTTGCAATTCCCAACCCTCACCACTAGATGCTGCTAAAACCTACACACTGAACCTTCAAAGAGAAAAAAACAAGTACAAAAACTTCTGAAGGTACTTGCATTTTCAGGAATCATTCAAAAATAATGTATGTATGTATATATTTTTTATTAAAAATGACAGGATGAAATCAGCTGCTACTGAAATTTTCACAGGCCAAAATATGTGGTTTGCAAACAGATATTGGCAGGAGAAGCTTCCGCACTTAACACAACAACACAATCTGTGCAGCATTGGATACCAAAAATATCCAGATGTCGACCTATGCATCGGACCTCTAATGCTTGCTGTGTCCCACAATGCAAAGCGTAAATACAGTCACAGGGAGTCTGGTATTGTATGGTAGGCTATAGGCCTAAACACATGAGGCAACATATAATTCCATTACAATTCATTAGTGCAGTGGTTCTTAACCCACTTAATGCCACTATAGATACAAAAATAGAAAAAAATAACTTAAAAATAACTAGACGGACTATAGTTGTGAATGCAATCACTTTGGGTGGTAATTATTTTGCACTGTTTAATCCAGTAGGAAGCAAAACGCCACAGCAGAATCAGGCCCGATCAGACAGAAAGCGCTTTGCAGGTTCGAAAAAGGGAGGCGCCCAGAAAATGGCTTTTTTGTTGAATTTGGAAAAGAGCAAAGTGCTGCAGGTTTTTAATGTTGCTAGGCAACCACGAATCAGCTGTCCTGTCAGTCTAATCAAAGATTATAGGCCAGTGATGTGTAGGCCTAATCTTTGGTTTGCTGCTAAGTAACCGTCATATAGCAGAAACTTGATCACAACTCACAGGTCTGTGTCTTTTGTTGCTACCACACAACCATTTAAATATTACAGTAATAGAACAGGACCAGTGCACAAATTCCCAGTATGTTCAACACTCATACTGCTGCTCCTCTGCTGCAGCCTGTTGCTGTCACATCTATTAATAGAGCCTGAGGCTAATGTGTGTGTGTGTGTGTGTGTGTGTGTGTGTGTGTGTGTGTGTGTGTGTGTGTGTGTGTGTGTGTGTGTGTGTGTGTGTGTGTGTGTGTGTGTGTGTGTGCTCGTCCCCCTGGGCTTCCTTAAGAGCAGGAGAGACGCTGTGAGCTGACAGCTGATATAAACATCTCTTCTTCCTTTTCTGACTCTCCTCCTCCTTCCCCCTCCTCCCTCGTTGTTCAGGACTGTATAAGGCCGGTTCCTGTGGTGATACAGTGATAAATGGCTGCATGGGGGGGAAATGGAGAGTAAACTAACAGCAGTGAGTCAGAAAGACAAAGAGAGAGAGAGAGAGGGGGGGATTTAGAATACTAAAACACAATTTGGCCTAAACTAAACAACAGGAAACATTACAATTAATTAGTTTTTAAAGTACCGTAAAACTTCTATTAAAAGCAGTCCCAATTAGAGGTTTTGACAAATAAACGCAAGTCTCAATTAGAAGGCTGGTTCTCTGATCTGTAAAACTTCTTGAAGTCCCCTTGAGCTAAGCTGCTTAGATTGTGCATTCAAATATAAATGTTGTAACTTTTGTAAATCTGGACGTGTCACACATCGTTAGAGCCGTTAAATTCTCCGCACCAAATTTGTATACAAGTAATATTCATGCTGGTTGAAATAAACATTTTGGTAGCGGCCGATTTCCCATCTTTGCTGAGCGAGAGTTCTGTGTGACAGGAGTAAAAGACCTGTCCCAAATATAGGCAGGGTGAGTTCAGTGTTTGAAGTAAAGAAAAGCCCGGGCTGTTAATTGAAGTTTTATGGTAGATGTTTAAATATAGTTTCTGAAAACTGTGTTAAAATGAAGCCATCGTTTTAAGGAAATTCCTCTGGAAATGAACACCTGCTTATAAACTCAAAACTAAACTCTCTCTCTGAGTTGAAATGTGTTGTTTGGAGATAATTCAAGTCATTTCATTAATAAATCACATTTTAAAACAACACATGTTGACCATAGTGCAGCAGAAGTGACTTTTAAATCCATTTAAATCAGTGAATACATGGATCAAGAGCCTTGTTGTCAGCTTTGTGAAAATCTATGTTTCTAATGTTTACAGTACCTTAAGAAGTAAGACACCAAATTTGGAGATATATGATTTTCTTGGCACAGATTTTGGTTTACTTACATACAAAGTCTGCTACGAAAGAATTCAGTATGCTACCGTGTGAATTATTACTATATAATTATTAGTCTATTGTCACCCAGTGTGTTTTGGATGCCTTGCTAGTTACTTTTAAGAAAAACTTTTTCACATTCAGATGGTCATGCAGGGAGGAAAGGTGATTATAGATTACAATCATTAACAACTTTGCGTATTTATGGTTGTCGTGTCTTCTGTGTCTAAATTCAACATGTCGCATTTAAAGAGCTGGTGAGGTGTAAATACAAACTGGCACAAGCTTAATAAGACCTGTTCCAGTACATGGTTTATTCTTTCACTTCAACACATGATGTAAAACTGTAAATTATAACATCAAAGTATGAAGAAAGTTTATTTATCATTATGCAACATAAGGTTTTACAAAGAAAAATAAAGTTACTTAATGAACAACAGTTTTTACATCCTGCAGGGTTTTTATTGATCCAGTTAATGTGACATATTTACCAGATGGCAGATAACCTCCTGACAACATCTAATAAATGCAACTTGATAATCTGCAGTAACATGTCCTGGCATTCCAAGTTGACACATGAACTCTGATAAACAAATGGATGGTGTGTAAGGAATTGTGGGATTTGGGGAGGATTCAGACAGTGCACCCTCTGACCTTCCTGAACTTTATCTGTGGCGGTTAAGACATAGTCAAGGTGTTATCTTTGATTTAGAGCATTATAAACTGTACATTACTACATTATTATAGGAGGTGGAGACAGGTATTGGCTCCTGGAGAGAAATGGATGGGGAGAAAGATAATAGAAGAAAGAGACTGTGGGTTAGGTGAACTATCCCCTGCTTCTACAGTACAGGGAGAGACTGATAGAGACGGGTGGGGAGAGACAAACAGGTATTGATAACGTAAGCGCAGCAATGTTTCTTCCCTCAGTACATTGCAGCTTTCAGAGCTGACTGTAATCACAGACTCACTTTCAGACTTTATGGATCCAAGAAATAACACATAATAACCACGGCTGTAACTTATGTGAAACAATAATTACATGAAAATACATAACAAAACACAGATTTTGACTGGAGAACAATGTCAAAGCCTCTTGTTGTAATTGCACCGCCTGGCCGCTAGATGTCGCTGTGGTTGAGCTTCTGAAAACAGCCGCTGCCTCTTTCTTTGCTGCTGTCAGCTAATCTGCTTCCTCCCGTTTCGTGTCGGAGTTCAGAGTTTCAAAGTGCAGTTAATGCAGGTAAGTGCCATAAAAATGAGTATTGTCGCTGCGGTGTGCGGAGTTGTTGCTCCCTCCCTGAGAGCGGCTTTGATTTCGGCCAGCAGAGGAAGAAGGGCGAAGAAGAGGCAAGCGCGCTCAGATTAGCTACCAAAGGTTAGCGTCCTATATCGGACACGTTTGAATTATTACGCGTTAATAGCGATAGTA